GTTAACCAGTATTTCTGAACCACTTGATTGTTTTTCATGACTCCCACGATACAAAAGCTAGAAAACAGACAGTTAAATGTACAGCTCTCAATTTAAAGACCACGGGACAAGACGGTAGACAAGTAAAATTTCTCCTGAAGTCAGACAGATGGGCAGTTTGTTCAATCAGAGAGACTGTCCTCCATCCCTCCCACAATGTCTAAGGTTAGAAGGGATGGACAGAGAACTTCAGAGCGCTAGCAAACTCTCCTGGCCTCCAAAGCCCTGCTGTGAGAAATAATGATCTAGCCATTAACGACAAAGACTCAGGGCAATTTGCTAAGTAATCTTTCAAAAGCTTCCTTCATTCAAACTGGTTTGTCAATGGGAAAGAACATTTCATAAATCTAAAGATTTACAAGTGAACTTTTAAGTTTAACATTATAAGAGTAGAAATTATGTCAGGTTAGAACAGAACAAACGAATTATGGAGAGTTGGGAATAAATTTTAAGAGTCTTAGGGAGGATTAGTGCTGAAAAAAAAAAACCTCAAGAGCACTATCTCACTTTTATGTTCTCTTCAAAGAGATTTTTAGGCAAAGACTATCATGTGTTGGCTTGTTTTGAGCAAGTATTAATATTAGCAAACAACTTGTAGTGGCTACTAAAAAAAAAACGAAACATAATTAAGAATCCTATAAGAACCCTGACTCATTAGACACGCTTAAGATTCTTAGATGTACACACCCAATACAGTAAAATTATTTTGCCAATAACCTGCTCCTTCAGCAATAAAATACAATACAGATTATGACACCTTCCTTTGATCTAAATCCTAAAACAGGATAATTATTTTGGTGGCAAATTATGAAAATAATACCAGGACAGACTATAAGAGATGAAACAGTTTGGAAGACCAGAAATTCTCTTATGAGAGTCTACAACAAAGCAGGGGAAAATAAAAAGTGAATCTCTACTAGAAAAAGAAAACACACGATATTTACATTGATAAAAGCTGCCAGGGTTTTAACACTGCTGACAGTGGCACTGAGAAAAGCTCAGTTGAAATGCAGATTACCTCAAAGCACAGTGTTTTGATGTGCCTTGCAGGTTATCATTAGAGTTTGCAGACAGCTCTTTTAAGATGTTATAGCCCCTGTTCAAAGGAATATTAGCATTGAGCAAAGCTCCAGGGGAAAGGAAACCTACTCA